TCTTCTTCACTTTTGGCAATTAGGCTTCTTTCATTCAGTTTTGAAAGACCAGTTTGACAGATGACACAACAGTAGTCTATGCCCATTGTGCTAGGTTTTGGCTTAATGGAAGAGAAATTAAATAGTGCTGGGAGTTAAATTGATGCACTTTGAGCTCTTTTAAGTAGCAAAACTTGAAAATTTGATAACCAATTCTTATCAAAGGTAAACATGCTGCTTGGCAGGGCTTTGGATCTGAGTTCAAAAAATTAACTTCAGCTCCAAGCTCCGGCTCTATTTAAATATTTAACTCCGGCTTCAGAACAGCTCCAGAGTAGCTCCAGAACAGCTCTGGCTTCAGAACAGCTCCAGAGTAGCTCCAGAAGAAACAAATCAAAAAAATAAAGTATTTTATAAAATATCAGGTTTTGGTGGTTATATCAAGATTGCTTGATATAAAATTAAGTGCAGAAAATAGCCTCTCTACACTTGCTTGTGAGAAAGTCATAGCTGATTTCACTTTTAAACATACTTTTTCTTACCAAAAATGACAGTTGTTGATAATATTGTTTTTATTTTTTTCTTAAAACTGAATGAAGTGCTATAAATGATTCAGCTGTTTTTCTTATTTCTTGACTTACTGTTATATTTTTGGCATCTATTTTATAAGTTTTTTCTGCTATTGCAGGCCTTGTTTTAAAGCGTTACGCCTAGAGCGATTTACGTACGCCTTAAGCGCTTTTTACGTACGCGTAGAGCTGTTTTGGTTAAGCTACTTTTTATCATTTTTTAACTTTTAAATTAGCGGTAACATAAAAGAAGTAATTAATTTTCAAAAAAACCACATTAACTTTTAAATAACGATATGTAAAGGTATTTATTAAAAAAAAGAATTTACTTTAAAATTAATTGTTGTAACTTTTCATCGCGATATATCTTTCCTTTTTATAGCAATTAATTTGACGCTAAACTTTTTATCCAAATACATGAAAAATTGTTTGTCAATCCTTAACTACAAATTTTTTGCAATGTTTTTAATAAAAAGTAGTAAAGTTTTTAGTAAAAAACTTTTAAAAAATCTATATTCCATATTTATTAATACAGAATATAAAAGTTTTTTGTAATATAGATTTTTTATAAATTTTTTACTGAATTTATAATAAAAAACATTTGCAAAAAAATTTGTAATTAAGAATTGACATTTTTTTAAAATAAAATCTCAAAAAATGTCTTAATATTTTTGTTATCATGATAACAAAAATATCAAGACATTTTTTCGAGATGTTAAAAAAAATGTCTTTGCTTTTCTTATTAGTTTAATAGTATATAGCTTATAGTTAGTTTAATAGTATATAGCTTTTCTTATTAGTTTATTAGTATATAGTTTAAGTTATGCGGGGGGAGGGGGGAGGCACAGAAAAAAAAATTACCTGTTACTCGCAATATTTGAATGAAGACAATTTGTTAAAATTCTTCTGCGTGCGATTCAATAAGTTTTTTTTGTCATAAATCAAGTTATAATATAAGGTAAAGAAATCATGAGTAGACTACAACATCCGCTGATGACACTAATATTACGTTGAATATATTTATATAACGGAGGTTTTATTATGCACGCGCACATTACAGGTTCCGTTAAATAAATACTAAGGCACGTTTTAGTTTAATGACAGTCTCCATTTTTTACTAGTGAATATGTATTTTTCTTTATAAAACAAAACAAACTAGTATATAAAAACCTTGTATATTTCTATTATCTCTAAATTATTTAAAGTTCGAATATGGATTGTATTTTGAAGGACAAAAGATTTACTTTAAAAACTTTTAAATCTTGGGACTTTGCCGATGCGGTGATCACAGAAAAAGAGAAGACTTACCTTATTAAAATCAAATGTAAGTTATGTGATCTTCATCAAAATAAAATATTATCCAAAAACAATAGTGCCGTAAGGGCAACTGCCCAACGGTTTATAAATAATACAAGTCATGTTAAAATATTTTAACATGTTACTATATTTTAATTAAGTTGATATATAATTAAAAATAAAAATATAGTTCAATAAATAAATTAAATTTATTCTTAACAAAGATTACCTCATATTTATTCTTTTTTTTATTTTATTAAGTTAAATTGCTTACAAACGAAAAAAAAAAAAGAGTTTTGTAATTATACGTAGAATGAAAATACTTTTGAGTTTGTTTATAAGTTAAGGAACTTAATTTTTAATAAACAAATTTTTACGAACGTTTATTATAAACAGATATGATTCAAATTGTTAAATATACTTAAATTATTTCAGTTGAGTATTTTTATAAGTTTGCACGATTAAAGTTTAGCGTACAAGTATTTGTTTTTTTGTTTTAAGAATAATTAATAAAAGAGTTTGCATAATTAAGACTTTTATATTTAATTTAATTTTTTTTTTAATTTCCTAAAATTAAAAAAAAAAAAAAAGATTTAATCGTTGAAAACGATTTTTCTCTATAGCTCTGTTTCTTTGTGATTTGTTTAAAAAGTTAAATATTTTTACAATAACATAAAAAGTTTATGAATTAAATTCCTAGCGAAGGCGTTCTAAACTACGTATCAAAAATACACTTCAAAGCAGACAAAACTTTTTTATATTTTTATAAAACGCAAGTTGAAACGCTTTTAAAAATTTAAAAAATATTTAAAAACTTAAATTTTTCTTTGCTAGTCAAAACAAAATCGTTGTTTAAATAATTAACATGGGTTTGTGTTTATCAATGTTAATATTTTTTGTTTACTCTAGAAATTTTTAAAAATAAAAAAAATCATTATTTTTTATTCAGTAACGATTAAAAACAATTATTCAAAAACAAATTTCAGAAATAATTAATATATATATATATATTTTTTACTAAATAATATTGAACTAAAATTAATAATAAAATAACAATTGAAAACATTACAAAATTTTCATAATAAATTTATATTTAAAACGTTTATAGTTTATATTTGAGTTAATTGTTAAATTGAATTAGTTTGCGGTTATTTATTTATTGCGGTAGTTAAAACACTTAACGTCTATAAAAAAAAATAAAGATAATTTTATGACGTCAAAATTGCGTTAAGCTAATGCATTAAGCACTTTTTTATTTAAAACAAGGCTTGCTATTGCTTTTAAGCCTTGTTTTGTATCTGATTCTCTTCTAACAATATTTTACATCTAGCATCAACATAAACTGCAACTAGAAATATATTATGAAATTTTTAGTTTCTTCACAACATACTGGACCTTTGCCAAAAGTTGGGTAGCGTATGTTTCTTTTAAGATATTAAAATTAGCTAGCTGCAAAGTGTGAACAAGCACATCTTAGTATGTTTACACCCTTCTTTGAGAACTAAGATTAGATTTTTTACCAAAATTGCTGCACTTTCTTTCTTGTTTGTATCCTGTCATAAATGCTCCATATGTTCCTTATCCTTTATAGTTTCATCAAGAAAATTTTCATGATCTGAATTTTTATTTAAAATTGTGATTATCTCTAATGTTTTAAAGTAACATTGTATGCAGCATTTTAAAAGTATTGTATGCAGCAACATAAACTACATGACATATTACAAAAAACAATTTGATCTGAGTTAAGTTTTTAAAAAACGCAAGTACTTTTTTAAATGTATGCAAAAATGACTTTATATACATCAGCCCAAAAATAATTTATAAAATTTAAATTTTAAAGTGCCTCAAGGTAAGCATCAAACACTTAACACTCAATCTATACATAAAATATCAATATCAAAGAATAAAATACTTTATTCAACTTTTATCATAAAACTTTAAATGACATTATTAATCACAGTTTAATTAAAAAAAATTACATTCATAATACTTAGGAATCCCTTTAACAAAAAATCTTCATACTTTGGTCTTCCAAAATCTTAAAGTGAAGAGCTAGCTTGGAGTTGGCTCCAGAGCCAGCTCCACCTAGAAATGTTTCAGTTGCAGCTCTGGCTCAGCTCTATGTAAAAATACCAGCCAAATAATTCCGGCTCCAGCTTCGAAGCAGCTCCAAAGCCCTACTCCTTGGTAAAACTTTTTTATTGAACTAAATGCTGATGAGTCAGCATAATGATCAATATATTTCAAAATAAAGAATTAAAAACATATTAATTTATTATCTAAGATTTTCAGATCAAATCCTTCCTTTTTTTTTTCTACTGTAGAAATTTTGGAAAGCTGTCATTTCATTTTTAAGTAAAAATATAGCAAAACTTTCAAGTCATTTTTTTTTCTTGGAAGAAATAGTTTACTTTCAATTTTTGTTTTCCAATAAACTAGGGGCCATGTACTTTTACCCCACACAGGTGGTTAGCTCTGTTCTTTCAAAAGTAGTTTTGGCCATTTTGTACAACAAATAGAGGGGTAAGTTGTCATATTGGGTCAACAATTCAATTTTCAATAAAAAGGTTATTAATAGATATTAAGTTAAAAAATATTTTATAAAATCATTTATTATAATTGTGTTATTTATTTATTATAATTGTGTTATTTATTTGTTTAACTTTATTAATTCATTTTATTTAAAGTATTAAGAATAGTTTAAATTTAAAAGTCTTTAAAAACCTTAACAATAATGTAGTATTTACAACTTAAACTTTCACGGAAACCTCTTTCACATTTTTTAATGTAAAAATTAATTACCTAAAAAAAAATACATTACATTAAAAATACGTTACATTAAAATAATGTAACGTATTTTTATTTAATAATGCATTTTACGTGCAATATTTTGTACATAAAATACATACATTATAGTTATCTTTTAATATTCAAACCATTTGATTTAAAAGACACTAGGTAATTTTAATAACTGTGTGTTTGAAATACATAATCTATGTGTTTGCAGTACATAAACAGTGCGTTTGCAATACATAAATTGTGTGTTTTTAGTATATAAACTGTGTGTTTGCAGTACATAAACTGTGTGTTTAAAATATATCATAGTTAAAGGTACAAATATCTACAAAATATAAAAATAAAAACAATTTTTTTTAGGATAAAATTTCAAAAACGTGTATACTGGAAAAGAAAGAATCGGATATAGACATGAAATTTGTTCTTTTTGTTTTTGACTTGGTTCATGATAGGTTTAAAATTTTTTTTTTTTAATTCAATTGAGTTTTGGATAATAAATATTTTATCTTATTTTCTGAAAGCTAAAATAATATGGCATGGGTCATTTTGTCATAAAAACTACTATGAAAAGTTCATTTGCATTTAAAAGTTGCTAATACAATTAATGGAAATAACGGCCAATCAATGATTGTCTACTTTTGAAAAAAATTGTTTTTGAGCATGCAAGGACAGATACAGTAAAAAAAATGAGACTTTGCTTAATGAAGAGTCAACGGAGAATGAGTTTTAGTTAATGAAACTCTAGATGATGGTCGCTGCTCCTTTGAGCAGCGACCATGATTTCACTTGTAGAAAAGATAGAGATACCACTTTACAACGATAGTAGCGCAGGTGCAACTACATTTACAATATGTTTTTGGACCTAGTCTGGATCTTGAAAAAAAGCATTGTTAGAAAAACAAACCCAAATATGAAAACAGTATTCCATATAGGAACAAATAAGAGATTTGTAGAGGTAGAGAATGGAATCAGGAGTAAGAAATTGGCGAGCATGATTAAAAATAACTACTTTTGCGGACACTAATTTAGCATTTGATTATATATATGGTTTTCATGAAAGGTCAATAGTAAATGATAATTTAAAAAGACGTAAAGAAGAGGTGCTACTGCACAAGCCACTGCAAGCCCTAATCTGTTACAGAAGTGATAGAGTAAAGAGATGCTAAGCAAAACAAATAAAACTTAAATAAAGCGGTTAGAAAAAAACGATTTGATATGCTCAAAAACTTTCCTAGTTACACCATATGAAACAAGCTTATGGAGAAACCCAGCATGCCAAACTATGTTGAAAGCCTTAGATATGTCAAGAGCAATAGCCCTAACCTAACCACCTCCGTCTAATGCACCATAAACGGGAGAAGATCGAAAATGATATTGATTATCTGATAGCAAGTTGTTTGACTCAAGTTGGGATGTTAAAAATTTATTTATCAAAGACTCAAAGACCTTGCTAATGACAGAATGAAGACTGATCGGATCGGTTTGAATCAAATTTTTATGATTAAAATAATTGGAGAGGTCAGAATGTTCACCAGAGTTTTTTTAAAAATTGGAACAACTGATACCATTTTCCAGCATACAGGAAAACAAGACTCAGTCAAGCACTTATTAAATATTTTAGAGAAAATTGAAGAGAGTTCTGAAGAACAATTTTGTAAGACTGTGACAGGAATGTTGTCTGACCACAAGCCGTAGAAGAATTTAATCGAGATATGGTTTTAGCAATGGAAGCTGAAACGATTTGAATGTCTAACAATGGGTTAATCTGTTTAATTGGAATAGAAGAAAAGAATGGCCATAAGATTCAAGAGTCAAATTAGAAGAAAAGTTTTTTGCAAATAGTTCTGCTTTATCCTTGGAAGAGATAATAAGATTAGTCCAATGAATGAGAGATTAAATAATAACTTTTGTTACTACTTTTCTTAACGATGCTGTTGAAGATTTTTCTTGAGCCTAACTTCTGAGATGAGATACAAAATTTAGTGAACTGAGAATAATGGAGCTTAGCATCTGACAGCACTTTTTATATTGATTTCTTGCAATAATAAATAGCCATTTCTTCTTAAGAGAGTTTTTCTTTTACAAGATGGTGAAAACCATGGACTAGAATGAGGTTTGACTTGGAACCAAAGAGAAAGAAAAAAGCTTCCATTCTTGCCTGAATTCAGGTGGTTATGTAAGTGGCAAATTTTTCAGCTGAGAAGGAAAAGACACCAGCCCAAGAACCATCACAAAGAAAATCACAAAAAGAATCCCAGTCAGCTTTAGGATAGTGTATGTTGTGCGATGATAGGGTGAGTCCAAAAAGGAAGTATGAGATAAAAGATTTAAAGAAATCATTGCATGGTCAGAACCACCTAAAGGAGAAAAAGAAGAAACTAAACACAAGCTAGGATCAGAGACAAGACTTAAATCAAGGAGTGAAGGTAAATGATTAGGGTGAATGCAGAAGTTATAGGCTTTACTGCCAGCAGGATAAGCAGGATCAAGTTAGAGCCAAGCCATTCAGTGTGATGAGCATTAAATTCACCACCAACAACAATAATGGTAAAGTGAGAGAGCATAGTCAATTTGTTCAGAAATTTAATCTAAAAGAGTAGGTGGTTGGAATGGTTTTTTATGTTTAATATTTTGGGTTACTTTTGGCATGATATAAGTTTAAAGAGAACTTGACTCATTCATAGATAGAGCACGGCCTCCCAAGCAATTAGCAATGCAATTTTCTCATTCCTGTTAATTAATTCTAAGTCATAACATAGGGCTCCTCAGCAATGCGCACTAAAAGCATTAAAAGGGACACCCTCCATTTGAAACATGACATTGTTACTCTGTTGATTTGCAGCTGTTGATGGAATCAGCTTCTCTTAATAAATTCTTCTTCTTAATTAATTCTAAGTCATAACATAGGGCTCCTCAGCAATGCGCACTAAAAGCATTAAAAGGGACACCCTCCATTTGAAACATGACATTGTTACTCTGTTGATTTGCAGCTGTTGATGGAATCAGCTTCTCTACCATAGAGTAGCTACCATAGAGTACCATAGAGAGCTACCATAGAGTATGGGAAATCTTACTAATAGCCGGCCTTAAAACCATTAAACTGAATTTTAGAGCTGTATCCTCATTAGCAGATAACAGTAGTTTTGATATCTTCACTTTCAACTAGGCTGCAAGCAACCACTATTAGAGTTGGAAGTTACTGGAAGAGAAAAGATGAAGATTGTAAAGCAAGATAACGATTGATAGACGACTTAAAAGATTGCAAATTATATGAATCAGGTAAGCAAGATGAAGGAAGCAAATTCCAAAGAACTGATGTTTGAGGAAAAAACTAAACAAATAAATATTTTTGGAGCACTTAAGAATAGTCACAGAAAAAAGGATGAGACTTAATTGAATGACAAGTAACATGAGAATGAATTTAGTAGATGGTTCAAGAGACCCTAGCTCTTTAAAACAGTGCCCATTATAGTATTTATAGAAAAGAGAAAGTAAAGCAAAATTATGATGATGTGATAATTGGTCCAACTATGTTTACAATGCGTTTTTGCACTTTGTCTAAGAAAGAGAGGGCATTATTAGAAGATCCGCCCCAGATATGGCAACAGTATTCAATACAAGGATAGATTTGAGATTTATAGAGATAAAGAATAGAATCCAGATTAAGAAAGTAGCGAGTACAATAAAGAGATGCAGTCTTAGCAGATGCTAATTTTGCAACGGATTTGATATAAGGTTTCCAAGAAACTTCAGAAGTGAGAGTTAATCCTAAAAGATGAAGGGTAGATGGCTCATCAAGTACATAACCGTTCATAAATATAGGAATATCTAGATAATTGTGATAACAATTAGCTCAAAAAAATTGAGTTTGATCTGAGTTAAGGTTCACCAGCCATTGAGAGCCCCATACTTTATCAGAAGTGAGATTCTTTTCAAGCTCAAATGCTCCCTCCAAGCAATTTGACAGTGTTGGTTCCTTATCAAGACAAGAATAAATGGTAGTATGATCAGAGAACAATGCCACCTTTGATGTGAGAATTTCTGGAGGATAGTTAATGTAAATTAAAAAGAATATAGGGCTAAGGATAGAACCTTGAGGAACCCCTGAAGTTACAGGATATGAAGATTCCATCGAGGGACAACTTTTATACTGCGATTGGTAAGAAAGCATTCAAATATCCTCAAGATGTTACCTGATATACAGTTAGAAGAAAGCTTATGGACCAGCATCTTAAACTTTATCCAATGCTTTAGAAATGTCGAGAGCGATAGCCTTAGTCTCTCCACATCTATCTAATCCATGATAAAACCTACTAGTTATTACCGTTAACAAATTAGCAAGAATGAGAAGATCAAAATCCATCTTGATGATCAGAAAGTATGTTATTAGATTCAAGATTCAGTTTTATGTGTTTATCAATTAAACACTCAAAAAACTTGCTATGATAGAAAGAAGACTAATGGGACGGTAGTTAGACAAGTCAGATCGCTTTCCAGAATTTTTGAAAATAGAGGTAACAGATGCTGCTTTCCACCAGGCTGTAAAACAAGACTCAGATAAGTTCTTGTTATATAGTTTAGAAAGTATAGACGACAGCTCCGGAGAACATTTCTGCAAGACTATAACAGGTATATTGTCTGGATTACAAGCTGTAAAAGAGTCTAAGCAGGAAATCACTTTAGATACAGAAGCTGGAGTGATACGAATAACAAGCAATGGATCAGCCTGTTTGTCAGCTTTATTAGGTAGGATGTGATTAGTGGAATCAAGAGATGAGATAAAAAGTTCTTAGCAAACAATTCAGCTTTGTCTTTAGTTGAGGTAACAAAATCTGAACCATTTAAGAGAGGTGGACTAACAGATTTGCCCTTATTATAGAGACTGATAAATATTCTACAGGCGTCACAAGAGCCTAATTTTTAAGATTAAATATGAGATTTTGCGACCTCAGAATAGCGGGCTTTGGCGTTAGAAAGTAATGGTTTCGATTGGAAATTGTAGCAGCACAATGAGAGAAAAACCATAGAGTAGAGTTTGGCTTGACTTGGAATTGTCAAGAGGGAATAAAAAATTTTATGCCAGCATGAATCCAAGAAGTTATGTAAGAAGCACATTTATCAGCAGGAAGACAAAAGATTTCTACCCAAGGGCCATCACGAAGAAAATCACAGAAAGAGTCCCAGTCAGCTTTAAGGTAGTTGAAAGAGGTACAATGATAAGGGGATTCTGATGATGAAGAAGAATGAGATAATTGTTTAGAAAGATCAAACCGTAATCAAAAGAACCTAAGGGTAAATGTGAAGAAACTGAGCACTGACTAAGATCAGAAACAAGACATAAGTCGAGTAGAGAAGGTAAATGATTTGGGTTATCTGGAAAGCGAGTTGTAAAGTTGACTATTTGTGTTAGAGATTGAGATAGGCAAAAGTAGTGGGCCTTAAAGGGATCCCA